TCCCTCCCTTAGCCCCCCAGTTCCCCGGCAGTCCCCAGTGTGTGATGTTCCCCTCCCTGTGTCCATGTGTTCTCAAAGTTCAACATCCACTTATGAGTGAGGACATGCAGTGTTTGGTTTTCTGTTCTTGTGTCAGTTTGCTGAGAATGATGGTTTGCAGCTTCATCCATGTCCCTGCAAAGGGCATGAACTCATCCTTTTTTGTGGCTTCAGAGTACTCCATGGTATATACTTTTTATTTTAGATTATACTCATTCTACTTATGAAAAAAGCCCCACTAACTGCAAACCTGCCTCAGGTGGGTCCTTCAAGAGGTATTCCAAAAGAAGGCATTGTTATCATAGAGGATGACAGCTCCATGTATGACATTGTCCTTGAAGATCTTTCAGCAGGATAAGATGTGGACATGGAAGACAGCGATATTGATAATCTTGATCCTATTTAGGCTTAAGCTAATGTGTGTGTTCTTGTCTTAGTTTTTAACAAAACAGTTTGAAGAGTAAAAATAAATAAAAAGCTTACAGGATAAGAATTTAAAGGGACAACATTTTTGTAGAGCTATACAATGTGTTTGTGTTTTAAACTGTTATTACAAGAGTCAAAAAGTTGAAAAGAAAAAGTTCATAAAGTAAAAAGTTACAGTAAGCTGAAATTAATTTATTATTGAAGAAATAAAAATATTTAAAAAATAAATTTAGTGTAGCCTAAGTGTGTCTTTTTTCCGAAGTGTTTCACACTTCAAATTTTTATATTTAAATCTTGGACATTTCTGGAGTCTCCTCCCGTCTCTGTCTACTAAAGGTTTGGAGGAAATATTAAATTCAAATACTAGTTCCTTGGCACTAACTAGAGAGGATGACTTCATAAAATAAACTCTTTGGAGTATTCTTTCTTCATATTTTTAAGATAAAAATTGTTGAATAAAAATTTTCTATTAAAAAATTGTAAGAGGTTATTTAGATATCCAATTCCTTTTCCCAGAGGTAAGCATTGCTAGTTTTTTTTTTGTATCCTTTATATCTGATTGCTTGTGCATATATAAAATATTAAATATTATGTCTTATCCTTTCACTTTAAAAAATATGATTTCCTATTATTTGGAAGCATTTCATATCTGTACAAAGAGAGCTTTCCCAAGCTTTTCTTTTTGTTTCAAATAATTCTATTATATATTCTATGATTTATTTAGCTAATTCCTCACTAATGAACATTTTATCCAATTTTGTACAATTACAACTATCTTAAAAATTATTTTGTCTAAAAAAGCACGTATCGTCACTAACACCATCTGATACACAGTCCATTTTCAAGTTTTCTCAGTTTTCACAAAGATATTTCTACAGCTTTTATTTTTACCTTGGATATATCTATGAAAAGTTATTTCATGTTTTAAGTTTCTTCCCCTCTATTCCTCTTTTTAAATTAAATTCAAGATTTCTTGGATTGTGATTATAGTATGCTATTTGCATTATTTTCAATTTTTGAGATTTCTTGTGGTATAATATGTGGTCACATTTATGGTTTACCTGGATACTTGAAAAAAAAGGAATAATCCATTTTAGGTTTCAGAGTATGATGTTACTTAGATCTACATTATTATTTCTGTACTTTAGGTCTTTTACATTAGCCTTACATTTTTTTTATCTCTTTTTCCCTCCATTTGTGATTCACTTATAGCTTTCTCTGTTGGCTTGCCGGGATTCTGGGTGACAATTCCCTTGGATAAATGAACTTATATTGGTGATCCCAAGTCTCCACACTATCATTTGGTCAGTACTCCCTGTGTGCCAATTAGCCATATCTTTCACAATAATAGCATTTTTATAGTTGTTTGTACATGAAGCAATGCTAGTTCTAACCACGGTTGAGTGTGGTTAAATCTTTGGAAACAGACACACCTTTGGTCTTTAAAAAAGTACATTGGTGGCAACATAGAAATGGTTAGGGATATTGGCTTATAGTACTCAAGTCCCCAGTGGTCAGTATGGAATAGATGTTTCTGATGACAAGTTTGCTTTGTATAGAAATTAATTAAATGTACTTTATACAAAGGAACCTGCTTCAGTTAAGTTTAATGAGCAAGAATCAATACAAATGAGAAGAAAAAGGACATGAAATCAGAATCTAAAATTGCTTTCATTTCTAAAAAAAAAAAAAAACCTCATTGCTATCTAAAGTTGAAATCCAAAGAAGGGAGTTAGCATGGTTTTGAGGCAGTCTTGTAAGTGGGAATAGAATCTGATTTGCTTTAGTTCTAGGATTTATTTTATTTATTGGCATGGAGACAGAACACCTTTGTTTTCTTCATTGAGTAGATTGTAGTAAGAACTGAATCTCTTATGGAAAGCTGAAAGATTTTTTTTGTGGATCAAGATAATGGCAGTCTGGGAACTTAACCAGGATGCTCTGAGCTGCAGGTATTATACACATTCACCTTCTACTACTATGTTTATTTAAAAAGCCCGGATAAATTCTGGATGCATGTGAAGTAGCTTAAGAAACCTAGATGCTGTGAATACTTAAAGACAAAGCTATCTCCTTCTCTTTCACTTAGATCTGCCTAGGGTGTGAGGATAGAACATGAACCATTCATAAATGGACTAAGATACATCATACAATCAGAAAGTCTGAGGAAGAAGCAGTTTTCTCTCCATACTGGCTGAGAGGTAGACCAGAGTATCAATCTCATTTCTACTTCTTACTGTTCTACCTTGTTGCTTCCCCTCTCTTGGTCTTGATTTCCCTAACTGTAAAAAGGAGCCAATAATACCAACTTTCACAGTTTTTGTAAATATCAAACAAAATAGCGTATGTTAAGCAGTAATTATGTCTTGCACATGGTCGCCACTGTTTTCGTTTTACCTTGGTTATCATTATTTCCATAGAAAGCTCACCAAACAATGCTCCAGACTGGGAGATATTCCCTGATAATGTCTTAGTAATTCTTTAAGCTCAAACGTGAAGCTGTATATTGAAACCAACTAGATCCATTTCTTAAAGTGCAGCTTACATTGTTTCCTTTCTGAAGACAGCTCTGATTAACCTGGTTTATGAGTATCTTTTCTGCTTCTAAAACTTTATGATCATATTATATTTGAAATTTTTATACATTTTTATTATTTACATTTTTGTGTGTGCTAAAATGTAAAATCCTTAAGAGTAGTAAATGTTTTAATACTTCAATAAGTAAATAGTGCCCATTGTATATGGAAGGCATCTAGCAAATGTTTGTTGATTGGTTACAAATGGTTATGATAAAGTGCAAAATAAATGACACAGCAGATTTATATCTGTTATTTAGCAGATTATAGATTTATATGACATGCTAATTGAGTCATAAAGGGAGTCAGATAAGAGGGAGATTACTGTGAAGACAAAGTCTTGTATGGGATATGTGACTCATAACCGACCACAAACAAGGGAAAGAAATGGTGAATGTGTAATCGTTATATATCCTGCATTTTTATTTAACAAAATGTAAAACATTTTTCAAAACCCTGAATAAATTTTTCAATATTTTTCAATAACTATGACATTCTAGCACATGCATATGCTATATCTTTTTAATAATTCTGTTATTACTTAGCATTTAGGTTTTCTTCCCATTGTTATTATTATAAATATTTTTCATTAAGCATCTTCTTCATAAATTTGTTTGCATTTATTTATTTTAATTATGTTATTAGTTGAAATGATGGCCATTTCAAAGGTTCCTAACAGAATTTGCCAAATTTCTTTGCAGAAAAATTGTCAACATTTATACTCACCTAAATAGTCATACAAATCTCATTTTACTATACATGTGATTACTTTTTGGAGAAGATATTTATATTCCAGATTTACTTATGTTTGCTAATGATGCTTTTAAACTATGTCATATGTGCTGGAAATGAATAAACAAGAGCCGAGAAAAAAAGAAAAGAAATGGTGAATGTGGTAGCTGCCTAGGGCAGAAAATGTCATCATCGTGGTGAACTTTATTACATAATGGGACAGCATAGGATTATAAAATAATAGAAATGGTAGACTTGGAAGGATTGTCTCCACCTCTTTATTTTACAAATAATACAACTTAGTTGACAAACTGTGTCAAGTATAAGGGGAATGGGAGGAAAAACTTGGTCAAATTTCCATGAGCTTAGGGCTAGGACTTGATCACACTTTTCTGATTCCAGGTGCAGTGTTCTTTCCACCATTCCATGAACCATGAAAATTTAGCATGGCCAATGATCTTTAGATATCAGTTGTGTGTACTTGTTTTTACTACGTTGCATGAGCTCTATTCATGTGTACATTCTGCAGCGTAAATCTCTTCCCTGGCCCTGCCTTTCTCCACCATATGTTGTCACACCTCAGGCTTTGTGATCACCTCCACTCCCTGGGCTGAGCTACAGAAGTGGGATAATCTTAGGGTTTCTACATTATTTTCTCTTCTTATGAGGAAAAGGTGAATATAATCTGAGAAAACTGTAATATCATAAAGCTGAACATGAGAGGGTATGAATAACAGTAACATATTGCACATAGAAGCAATCAGAAAGGTAAGAAAAATAAAGGTCATCAGAAATTGCTTGAGGTTTGGGGAATTCTATGGGCAGGAGTAACCAACTGTGAGGGAGAAATCAGTAAGTTCATCATTTCCTCTTTTTTTCCCCTCATATTATTCCAGTGCATTTAGCATTTGGTTTTGCCTGATTTTATTAATTAATTTATTTATTATACTTTAAGTTTTGCGGTCTTCTTTTATCCAAACTTGTAGATTGTCAGGGAGTCTGAGGAATTAGGAGCAGCGCTGTGTGACAATGAGTTACTGCCCATTTTCTGCAACTACAGTTTAAGGGGTTATTTAGAGATGTTTTGGCTCTGTGAGATAAAGCCTTTTTTTTTTTTTTTTTTTTTAGAGTTTGAAACTCATGTAGTCAGAGACTCCGCACAAAGTTTGACTTTCTCTTTACTCTCCTTTTCAGATAATGTTAGAGTCAGCTCTGCTCACAGAGGCAATGGGTGGAGCCAACCTCTCTGTGGTGTCTGAGTTTGTGTTCCTAGGACTCTCCAGCTCATGGGTGATCCAGTTTCGTTTTTTCCTCTTTTCCTCTGCGTTCTACACGGCAAGTGTGGTGGGAAACCTCCTTGTTGTGTTCTCTGTAACCTCTGACTCCAATTTACACTCCCCTATGTATTTCCTGCTGGCCAATCTCTCCTTTCTTGACCTAGGAGTTTGTTCTATTGCAGCCCCCAAAATGATTTATGACATTTTTAGAAAACACAAAGCCATCTCTTTTGCAGGCTGTATAACTCAGATCTTCTTTATTCATGCTGTCGGGGGCACAGAGATGGTGCTGCTCATAGCCATGGCCTTTGACCGATATGTGGCCATATGTAAGCCCCTCCACTACCTGACCATCATGAACCCACGAATGTGTATTTTAATTTTGGCTGCCGCCTGGATCCTCAGCCTCATTCACTCAGTAGCCCAACTGGCTTTTGTCATAGACTTGCCCTTCTGTGGCCCTAATGTATTGGACAGCTTTTATTGTGATCTCCCTCAGCTCATTAAACTTTCTTGTACAGACACCAATAGACTGGAGTTCATGGTCACAGCCAACAGTGGACTCATCTCTGTGGGTTCTTTCTCCATATTAATTATTTCTTACATCTTCATTCTGGTCACTGTTCAGAAACACTCTTCAGGTGGTTTATCTAAGGCCCTCTCTACTTTGTCAGCTCATGTCACTGTGGTGGTTTTATTTTTTGGACCATTAATTTTCTTCTACATCTGGCCCTTTCCCTCATCACATTTGGACAAATTTCTTGCTATCTTTGATGCAGTTCTCACTCCTTTTCTGAATCCAGTCATCTATACATTCAGGAACAAGGAGATTAAGGTAGCAATGAAGAAACTTGGCCATCAGCTTGTGAGTTACAGGAAGATATCCTAGCTATTCTAAGGATAAACAAAAATGTAGCTCTGCACTGGAAGACAAAGGAAAAAATAAAGTCATCAAAATTTATATCTCAATTACTTTAGTGTTACATTCAGGCGTTTACCATGTCATTTGTGTATCTCTAGTACTCTAATCAATAGAGATAAAGGGAGCAACATTGGAGACTTCTGTGTTTCAGACCCTATGCTTGATGTTTAATATAAATCATTTAATATTCACGATAACTCTGTGCAGTATTTTTACTTCAATAATATTTTATATAAGTTAAGACATGCTGTGTGTTCGCTCTCTTTATAATTACTATGTAAAATGTTTTGAACCTAAGCTGTTTTTCACCAAATTCCCCACTTTCATTAATCTTCTCTCTCAAAAGGTGCCAAATAGAGAATGTGTTCAGTAATTCACTGCTGGAAGTTAGTGTATTATTCCTCTTCACTATCATACTTTTCCTGTTTTGAATTGCTTAATGTCCTTTTCTCAAACTATCCACCGAACTGTCACGATGCCTAATTGCTTTCATTTCCCTCCCTCCTGTTTTAGTATCTGCTTGCTTTTTGTATCCTTTGACTACTTAGCGAACTCTTGATTGTATAATAGATTAATGTAGGGAAAATAAACAAACATCTTTGTATTTTTCCTTTAATTCTTGCTTTTTTAACTTAGAGAACTGTTGATTGTATAATAGATTAACTTAGGGAAAATTCACATTTTTGTATTTTTCTTTTAAATCTTGATTTTTTATGTGTCTTTTTTCCAACGTGTTTCCCACTTTAAAATTTTATATTTAAATCTTGGACTTTTCTGGAGTCTCCTCCCATCTCCAACTGTCTACTAAAGGTTTGGAGGAAATATTAAATTCAAATATTAGTTCTCTGGCACTAACTAGAGTGGATGACTTTATAAAATAAACTCTTTGGAGTATTCTTTCTTCATATTTTTAAGATAAAATTGTTAAATAAAAATGTTCTATTCAAAAATTATAAGAGGTTATTTAGACATCCAACTGCCTTTCCCAGAGGTAAGCATTGTTATTTTTGTCATGAGTTCCATGAATAAAATATTTGGGGGACCTGAGAACTGGGAATTTTGGAACTGGAATTTGAGAGCTCATTTGTTCTAACCTATTATTTTATAGATGATTATACTCAGACACAGAGGTTAGATGATAGATCTGGAATGAGAATTTGGTTTCCTTACTTTTAGATTACAAAAAAGAATTGACCCCACTTACTGATTTAGATTCTTGAGCTTTTTTTTTTTTTTTTTTTTTTTTTATTGCATTTTAGGTTTTAGGGTACATGTGATGAACATGCAAGATTGTTGCATAGGTACACACATGGCAGTGTGCTTTGCTGCCTTCCGTCCCCTCACCTGTATCTGTCATTTCTCCCCATGCTATCTCTTCCCACCTCCCCACCCCCCCACCCCTCCCCCATTTCCCCCCAACGGACCCCAGTGTGTAGTGCTCCCCTCCCTGTGTCCATGTGTTCTCATTGTTCAACACCCGCCTATGAGCGAGAATATACGGTGTTTGATTTTCTGCTCTTGTGTCAGTTTGCTGAGAATGATGGTTTCCAGGTTCATCCATGTCCCTACAAAGGACGTGAACTCATCATTTTTGATGGCTGCATAATATTCCATGGTGTATATGTACCACATTTTCCCTATCCAGTCTATCGTCGTTGGGCATTTGGGTTGGTTCCAGGTCTTTGCTATTGTAAACAGTGCTGCAATGAACATTCGTGTGCACGTGTCCTTGTAGTAGAATGATTTATAATCCTTTGGCTATATACCCAGTAATGGGATTGCTGGGTCAAATGGGATTTCTATTTTTAGGTCCTTGAGGAATCGCCACACTGTCTTCCACAATGGTTGAATTAATTTACACTCCCACCAACAGTGTAAAAGTGTTCCTATTTCTCCACATCCTCTCCAGCATCTGTTGTTTCCCGATTTTTTAATGATCGCCATTCTAACTGGTGTGAGATGGTATCTCAATGTGGTTTTGATTTGCATTTCTCTGATGACCAGTGATGATGAGCATTTTTTCATATGTTTGTTGGCCTCCTGTATGTCTTCTTTTGTAAAGTATCTGTTCATATCCTTCGCCCATTTTTGAATGGGCTTGTTTGATTTTTTCTTGTAGATCTGCTTTAGTTCTTTGTAAATTCTGGATATCAGCCCCTTGTCAGATGGGTAGGCTGCAAAAATTTTTTCCCATTCTGGGATTCTTGAGCTTTCTACTAACAAACTGTACCTCTGAGTTTGCATTGCCCTTTATTTTTGACCCCAATAAGCAGAAAAGACACCAGGAGGTCAGTACTCTTTTTTTTAAAATTTTAACTTTTATTTTAGATTCAGGGGTACATGTGCAGGTTTGTTACATGGATATATTGTGTGAAGCTGAGGTGTGTGGTACAATGGATCCCATCACCTGACTAGTGAGCATGGCACTCTTTTCATTGTCACCAATTTTATATCATTATTTGGTGTTTCCAAGTTCCTTCTTTATTTGCAGCGTCACAAGAAATTTCTTGAACTAGGTTCTGGTTATTTTACAAAATGCATGATTATATCTTCACTCATCTCTTGTTTCACCCATGGCTTTTACTTGTGTCATTTACTTAAAAAATCCATAATTAAACAGTATTCCTCTGTCTATATTGCTTTTTTACTCCACAAAACACTCTAAAGAGCATTTGCTATCACTTTTCTTTTTTTTTTGAGCCAGGGTCTCGCTCTGTTCCCCAGGCTGGAGTGCAGTGGTGATCACGACTCAACCTCCCAGACTCGAGTGATTCTCTCACCTCAGCCTCCAAAGTAGCTGGGACCACAGGTGTGTGCTGCCACACCCAGCTAATATTTTAATTTTTTTTTAGAGATGAGGTACCACCATGTTGCCCAGGCTGGTCTTAAACTCTTGGGCTCAAGCTATTCTCCCACCTCCACCTCCCAAAATGTTGGGATTACAGGCATGAGCCATTGCCCCAGCCTACCATCACTTTTCTTATTGCTACCAAATATAGCAGTTATCTTAAATAAGCTTCAAGAATTTCAGGCATGAATATTACTCCTTTTTTTGTTTGTATTAGAGAATCATGTTTTCCATGAATGAAATATTTGGGGAACTTTAGAACTTTTGGGACCCCGCTGGGTGCGGTGGCTCAGGCCTATAATCCCAGCACTTTGGGAGGCCAAGGTGGGCGGATCACACAAGGTCAGGAGTTAGAGACCAGCCTGAGCAACTGAAGAAACCCTGTCTCTACTAAAAATAAAAAATTAGCCAGGCGTGGTGGAGTGTACCTCTAATCCCAGCTACTCGGGAAGCTGAGGGAGGAGAATCGCTTGAACCTGGGAGGCAGAGGCTGCGGTGAGCTGAGATCGCACCATTGCATTGCAGACTGGGTACAAGAGCAAAACTCTGTCTCAGAAAAAAAAGAACTTTTGGAATCCGAAGATAATATAAGCCACAGACAAAGTCTTTCCGTTCTATAAACAAAATTTTTGATTTATAAATGAATAACTATGAGGATATTACACTAATACCGATTTACCTTAAAGATTCTTTTAAAAAGTATATATAATCATATATATCTGTAAGTTAGTGATTTTTTGATAGAACTTTGTAATAAATTCATCTTCTTAAAGTATTGACATATTTCAAGATTCTTTTAGGAGGTGATTTTACTCACTTTTCATCTTTTTTTAATTTTGGAATTCTTTAAAACTGTTAATTCACTTGTAAAACATTTGTTAGGACAAACATATGCTAAGACATTGACTTAACCAAGTGAGAGATCTTTCTTTTTTGTGCAATTAACCGTGGACAAAGACTTGTCTGAATGAACACTTATGATGTGCCGGTTACTATCCTAAGTTGTTTACATACCTTAACTCTTTTTATTTTAACAGCAATTGGGTAGGTGATATTCTCATTTTTCCTTTACAGATGAGGTAACTAATGCACAGAAAGATTCAGTAACTAGCCCATGGTAAGTTACTGGTATAGTGACTTACAGAACACAGCTGGTAAGTAGTAGAGCTGGAATGTAAATTCAAGCAGCTCCTGCTGCAACATACTTGCTCCTAATCACCACAGTCCACTACCTCTCAAGATAGTTCAAAAACACTCTCTCCTGAACTTTGAAAATCTGAACACATTTTTCCTTTCTACACTTGAGCATAAAATAGTAACATAAAATGTGCATAAACTCAATAAAATGCGCCTTTCAAGATTTGTGTCTGTCATTTTAACGTTTCATTAAAATATCGCTATACAGTATTTACTATTCAGAAGACTTAAGATTCAGAAGTAGCTTAGGTGCTAAAATAATTTTATAACTTTATCATATTTATTTATTTATTTATTTATTTTGAAAATAATACAAATACACCCCCAAACTGTGTTATTTTCAAAAATACAAATACAACCCTTAGCTGTATCTTGGAAAATAATACAAATACACCCCCAAGCTGTGTTATTTTCAAAAATACAAATACAACCCTTAGCTGTATCTTGGAAAATAATACAAATACACCCCCAAGCTGTGTTATTTTCAAAAATACAAAAATACAGCCCTTAGCTGTATCTTTGAAAATAATACAAATACACCCCCAAGCTGTGTTATTTTCAAAAATACAAACACAACTCTTAGCTGTATCTTTGAAAATAATACAAATACACCCTTAAGCTGTGTTATTTTCTTTTTTTTTTTTTTTTTAGCCATGGGAACAAGGATGGAGACACACCAAGTGAAGTTGAGAATGGAAGATTAATAGATAATAGCTCTCTGGTGCAGACAGGGGTCCCAGAAAAATGGGTTGCTAGATCCACAGTGAAATACAGGGGGTTTTATAGATGAGTGGGTGAGGAGGAAGTGTTTTATTTACATAGGACAGGAAAAACTGGTTGGAACAGATGTTCCATTTGCATAGGATACAAATCTCTGGCAGCCCCCACCTTAATCTTTTTTTTTTTTTTTTTTTTTTTTTAAAGAATAAAGAAGAGGAAGAAAGAGAAAGAGGAAGAGGGAGAGAGGATGGGGGTATTGCTTTATTGCCCGGGCTAGAATGCAGTCTAAATATGGGTATGCCTGTAATTGTCTTTAATAATGGAGACATGAAAGAAAATGAGGGAAGAGAATAGCAAACAAGGAGCCAACCAAGATTTCTTTTAAACTTCTAAGTTGATATGATGTGGTACTGATAAGAGTGTATACTTTGTATATTTAAAGTGGAGAGTTCTATAAATGTTAATTAGATTTACTTGTTCCAGATCTGAGTTCAAGTCCTGAATATCATTGTTAATTTTCTGTCTCATTGATCTGTCTAATATTAATGTTGAAGTCTCCCACTATTATTATGTGGGAGTCTAAGTCTCTTTATAAGTCTTGTATGTCTGCGTATTCCTGTATTGGGTGCGTATATATTTAGGATCTTTAGCTCTTCTTGTTGTTGCATTGATCCTTTTATCATTATATAATGTCCTTCTTTGCTTCTTTTGATCTTTGTTGCTTAATTATAACTTCTGCTTTTTATTTATTTATTTTAGCTCTCTGTTTGGTTGGTAAATCTTTCTCCATCCCTTGTTTGGAGTCTTTGTGTATCCTTGAATGTGAGATGGATCTGGATGCAGCATACTGATGGGTTTTAGTTTTTTATTCAAATTGCCTGTCTTTGGATTGGGGGATTTAGTCAATTTAAATTTAGAATTAATAATAATATATGTGAGTTTAATACTGCCATTAGCTGGCTATTTTGTCCATTAGTTGATGTAAATTCTTCATTATATTGATGCTCTTTTTGATAATTTTTTTAGAAAGGCTGATACTGTTTGTTCCTTTCATATGTGTAGTGGTTCTTTCAGAAGCTCTTGTAAAGCAGGCCTGGTGGTGATGAAATCTCTGAGTGCTTGCTTATTCACAAAAAACTTTATTTTTCCTTCACTTGTGAAGCTTAGTTTGGCTGGATGTGAAATTCTGGGTTGAAAGTTCTTTTCTTTAAGGATGTTGAATATTGGCCCCCACTCTCTTCTGGCTTGTAGGGTTTCTGCTGAGAGATCTGCTGTGAGTATGATAGGCTTCCCTTTGTGGGTAACCTGACCTTTCTCTCTGGCTGCCCTTAGTATTTTCTCCTTCATTTCAACCCTGGTGAATCTGACGATTATGTGCCTTGGAGTTGCTCTTCTTGAGGAATATCTCTGTGGTGTTCGCTGTATTACCTGGAGTTGAATATTATCCTGCCTTACTAGGCTGGGAAAATTTTCCTGAATAATGTCCTGAAGCGTATTTTCCAGCTTGGATTCATTCTCTTCGTCACATTCAGGTACACCTATCAAGCGTAGATTAGGTCTTTTCACATAGTCCCATATTTCTTGGAGACTTTGCTCGTTCCTTTTTATCCTTTTTTCTCTAATCTTGTCTTCTTGTTTTATTTCATTGAGTTGGTCTTCGACCTCTGATATCCTTTCTTCTGCTTGATCAATTCGGCTGTTAAAACTTGTGCATACTTCACGAAGTTCTCCTATTGTGTTTTTCAGCTCCATCAATTCACTTATATTCCTCTCTAAATTGTGTATTCTTGTTAACATTTCGTCAAATATTTTTTCAAAGTTCTTAGTTGCTTTAGATTGGGTTAAAACAAGTTCTTTTAATTCACAGAAGTTTCTCATTATCCACATTTTGAAGCCTGCTTCTGTAATTGGAACACACTCGTTCTCCATCAAGCCTTGTTCCGTTGCTGATGAGGAACTGTGATCCCCCGCTGAGGGAGAGGCGTCTGATCTTGGGCATTCTCAGCCTTTTTTGGCCGTTTTCCTCCCTTCGTTATAAATTTATCCATCTGTGGTCTTTGAATTCACCGTCTTTGTAATTAGGTTTCTGAGTGGACGTCCAACTTACTGATTCTCAGCGCCGAAATCTGAGCAACCCACTGCACCGACCAAATCAGCGGCGTTAAGATTGATGGTGCTTTTCCGACTCTGCACCAAGAACCGTGGCTCCAAGGCGCTGGCAAAACCGCCTCGCCGGTCACAAGAGTCGCGCTGGCGACCCGTGGGGCTCCTCCGCTGGGAATCTCCTGGTGCGTGAGCAACAAGAATTCATGTGAAGGTGTGGCATCCTCTCATTCTTTGCGCTTTCAGTGGGAGCTACAATCCTGAGCTGTTAGTGATCAGCCATCTTGGATCTCTCTCATATAAAGTTATATGATAAAATATAACTTTATCATATTTAAACACAATTATGCATAAGTGAAGGACAATGCACCATCTGTGCTTTGGAGATACTTAATCCATAATAGAATAATGTTGCCTTAATCCATAATAGAATGGCAAACCATATTGCCATGTGTACCTATGCAACAATCCTGTGTGATCTGCACATGTACCCTAGAACCTAAAGTACAATTTAAAAAAAAAAAAGAAATAAAATATAACCAGAAATATTCTGTTTTGTTGATTTTTTAAAAAATAAAAAGTCTTGATCTATGAGAGGGTAAATCCATTACTGCTTTTCCTTATTTCAGCTGCACTGGCATTTTGAGTCAATCCTCATGTGCTGCTTTTACAGCACCTTATTCATCTCTCCGTTTCACACAATTAAGAACTAACCAAATGTTGACTACACAACTGTTCATATTATTACCTCTAATTTAGTTATCCTTTCTAGTGGGGCATAAATCATGTTTTATATGCTACATTGGAGGCCTCTTTTTCTTCCTTTTTCCCTCCCTCTCTTCCTTCCTTCCTTCCTTCTTTCCTTCCTTCTGCAATGATAAACTTTATTTCATTTTTTGGAAAGTATATACTTTCATCCTTATGGAGTTTCTTCCCTCACAAATAAGGAAAACAAGCAGGTAAAAAGATTTTTTTAAATCTGTGGTTTTTACATTGTCAGCTTTTTCCTTTAATTGCTGTGGCCAAATTTCTGTGGTCCTAGCAAACAATTCCCTTGGCCAAATATACTCAGGATGGCAATCCAGGTCTCCACAGCAACATTTAAGTAACTTTTCTGGGCTGCCGATTAGCTCCCTTTTCCCCTATGGAGGTATTACACCTGACTTTTTATACCAAGTGATGATAACACCAATGAGCTCGGCACTTTGTGATCCTCTGTTTCAACGCTAGTTCAGGTAGGTTAGATGGATAGAAACTGGACTGGTAGAGATCAGAACTTTAAGTGGAAACACACAGAGCAGTGAGAGGGATAATTTAATCAAGCAGGAGTGATGAATTAACTGTTATTCAACAGGAAAATTGTAGCAGAGTAACTAACAACCAAAATATAGAAGGCAACAGAATGAGTGGAGTCAAGTCATGATTTCATGTTCAGTATTGGAAAGCTTATTCCAGTGACATTTGCACAGATGTGTTGTGTGCAAAGAATAAAGTCAGAGTGGAAGATTTGAGTCCAGTGCAAGTAAAATGTGAAGCATTTTAGACAATGCTAAAGAAACTAGTTTGGGTATGTTATAGTTTCCTGAACCACAGACAGCGTACAAAGATAATCACAGCAGAAGAAACACGATGTAGTGGAAATAACCTGGATTGAGGAAGCCAAAAGTCAAACACATTCTGGATTTGCCACCAATTTGTTCTGTAGCTTTAGCAGAGTCGTTTACTCTCCTTGCTCCTTGGCTTTCTCAACTCTAAAATGAAAGAATTTTACAATCACTAACAAAGTTTCATTCAGGAAGTAACAATTGACTTCTATGAGGCTTGCTGTATTGTTGATAGCAGTAATAACAATTTTGGGAGCCTGAAGCTCCAGTGTCCATTCCTGTCCATCTTTCTCATACTTTGAGTGTTATCCTGAGCTCTTTCTATCCATCTTTATCTGAGTGATTTCAAACATTGATCTACTTAAAAAAAAAAAAAAGAAAGAAAGAAAAACCCTAGAATTATCATCCTTATTTGGATTGGTGATAAGCTCATGACTTCAATTCATTTCCTATTTATGTTGGTCAGCACAGGAATGAGCAAACTGAGCAGAGGAGAGAGTAAGTTGATCAGTAGGGATCTCTGAAATATTTTTCTTTTCTTACATTCTAGGCTTTGTGGTAGGAGTGTAGGCAGAGGTATGTGGTCTGTGTTAAACACAATTATGAGATTCAGAACACTACAAAGGCAGACTGAGATTTAGTTGCTTATCACAACTAATAATGTATTTTCCTTTTGTAGGAGTGAACTAAGTGGAGAGCTCAACTCTGTCTTTATGAACAAGATCAGATTTAAACACTATTCAACCCTGTTTAAAAAACACTTTTAATGGGGACTAATACAAAGTGTGGTACCTCAAGACTTTAAGCTTTATAGAGAGATAGGACATGAAAGACTGGCCAGAGAAAAGTAGTGCCAACAATGAGTGGACAAACCTGTTTTCCAAATTTTTAGCAACACTAGGAATTATCGAATATAAATCTTTGCTAACCTTAAATATAAAAATCAAAAAGTATTGTTTTAAGGATCAAACAAAAGTCTTATGTAAAAATTAAAAAGGTTTTTGAGGAATCGCCACACTGTCTTCCACAGTAGTTAAATTAATTTACATTCCCACCAACAGTGTAAAAGTGTTCCTATTTCTCCACATCCTCTCCAGCATCTGTTGTTTCCCGATTTTTTAATGATCGCCATTCTAACTGGTGTGAGATGGTATCTCAATGTGGTTTTGATTTGCATTTCTCTAATGACCAGTGATGAGAATTTTTTCGTATGTTTGTTGGCCTCCTGTATGTCTTCTTTTGTAAAGTATCTGTTCTTATCCTTCACCCATTTTTGAATGGGCTTGTTTGTTTTTTTCTTGTAGATCTGTTTTAGTTCTTTGTAAATTCTGGATATCAGCCCCTTGTCAGATGGGCAGACTGCAAAAATTTTTTCCCATTCTGTTGGTTGCTGATTCACTCTACTGACTGTTTCTTTTGCCATGCAGAAGCTGTGGAGTTTCATTAGGTCACATTTGTCTATTTTGGCTTTTGTTGCCATTGCTTTTGGCATTTTGGTCATGTTGACCTAAAAATAGAAATCCCATTTGACCCAGCAATCCCATTACTGGGTATATAGCCAAAGGATTATAAATCATTCTACTATAAGGACACGTGCACACGAATGTTAATTGCAGCACTGTTTACAATAGCAAAGACCTGGAACCAACCCAAATGCCCAACGATGATAGACTGGATAGGGAAAATGTGGTACATATACACCATGGAATATTATGCAGCCATCAAAAACGATGAGTTCACGTCCTTTGTAGGGACATGGATGAACCTGGAAACCATCATTCTCAGCAAACTGACACAAGAGCAGAAAATCAAACACTGCATGTTCTCACTCATAGGCGGGTGTTGAACAATGAGAACACATGGACACAGGGAGGGGAGCACTACACACTGGGGTCCGTTGGTGGAAATGGGGGAGGGATGGGGGTGGGGAGGTGGGAAGAGATAGCATGGGGAGAAATGACAGATACAGGCGAGGGGATGGAAGGCAGAAAACCACACTGCCATGTGTGTACCTATGCAACAATCTTGCATGTTCTTCACATGTACTCCCAAACTTAAAATGCAATTAAAAAAATTAAAAAGATTTTAGGAGTGAGTGGAAATTGGAGACAGTGACAGAGTAACTTACAGTTTCTAGGGGAGCAATTTAGAATTTAAACATTCACTTAAATAAATTGCTTTAGTGGGAAGGTTGCTGATGATAATCACTGTGAAAGAAACTTAATTTATTCCAAGCTGAGTTGCCCTTTATAAATGTAAATGCTATTTATACTATTATCATTCAAAAGTCTAAAAAGGATAATTTGAAGACATGTTGAAGAAACATGATTTACAATGATGGGAAATTCCATAGTGTTCTTTGTTAGATCACTCTTAGAACACTATTAGTATGAAGATTTTCAGTTTGGTTACCACAATATAAACAAAATTTGTTTTCATTTAATGTAAAGAGGACTTCATTGAGAAAGGAATTAGACAGAGTGGGTACTGACGAAAATAGGAAGAATTAGATGTAATGAGTACAAGGGCAGGTAGGCCAATTGAAGAATGCTGAGTGAAGACATGAGCTGAAGTGCATGCATACATGTGTGTGTGTGAAGAGTAAATGCCTTTTGGGAACATGTCTAGCAAAAAAAAATAGTATAGCTTAGAGTATAAGGTGTAGGGAGCAGTGAAGTAACAGTTAGTGAATATTTTGGGAGTAGCTTTGATTCTTAATTTGAGAGTTACATTTTGATAATATCTTTGGATGCTCTGAAGACACTACTTGTGTTATTTTCTGAAAATGTTTACCTTATTGTAAGATTAAAATTGATATGTGCTCACTGAAAAAATGTAAGATAGTAAGAGCACAAAGTGAAACATAAAATTTCCCTCTTCCTTCATTACTTTCTCAGTCCCAGCCCTTGGAGATCATTATTAACAGGCTTTTGTGTATCAATTTAGACATTGTCTATCTACTTTTTATTTTATTTGACTGATTTTATTTTTAAGCCCAGATGAAATGATATAGTGCAGGCAACTGACAACCTCTCCTCTATCCTAAGTACATTTAGATCTACCTCAGTATTATCAATGGCTGCATAGTATTGCACGGAAATGACCTAAGATAATCTTTCAACTGGCTTCTTATTCTATGCATTGAAGTTATTGTCAAGATTTTGCTCTTAGAACAATGGTTTAGCAAAAATAGCAAATGAATGCTATTTCTTTGTTCACTTAGTTCATATGCACACATAGGTATATTCAGGAGTTCCCCTCCCTACCCCAAATGTAGAACTGAGTCAAAGTATATGATGACTTAAAATTTCAGAAGGTATTTCCAAATTGGCAGATGTTTTCTCAGTTTAGGTTCTCACCACCAGTTATGAGTCAGCCTATTTTTCCATTTCCTACCAAGCTCTGACTTTTCTCAAATGTTTACGTATCTGCCAGATGGATGAAACAACTGGTACCTTGCTATTTTAGCATGTGTTTATTATGAATGAGGTTAAATATCTCATTTAAAGGTACACAGAGACTTTAACAGGCAGACTTTAAAGTAGAAAGAAAATTTCTAAATTTTCTGACATTTTTACTCTTTCTTGTTCTGTAGGGCTGAGGGCCTCACAGGGTCGTGGGGTGAGCCTTATGCTGTGCTGAGGCGCAGGATCTGAGAAATAAAGAGACAGGACACAGAAGTACAAAGAAAATGCAGCTGGGCTCGGGGGACCACGCCACCAATCAGTGGAGTCAGGCGAGACCCCAAATGTCCAGAAGCATGAGTGTTTATTGTGTATAGGTTAGGGGGCAGAGCGGTGAGTGAAATCATCTTTAAGGATAGTGATAGGGTCATGAGCAATAAAACATGGGGTCCACCCCCATTAGGTCACCTAGGCCAGGAGGTGGATGGTGCACAGCAAGGGGCCCATTCCCGTGAAGGCAAGGGCTGTGTGCAGTAAGGGGTCCAACCCCATTCAGTCACTGAGGCTTGAAGGTGGGCCGTGCACAGTGAAGAGGGTGCAGTGTGCAATACTTCTATCTATGGGCAAACTACTTCTAAGAAGATTTATAGGAGGTTGCTTTAAGTCACATAGCAGTGACAGAGCTGTCAAGGTTACCGCCACCTTCTGGCAGCTTCCTATGGGTTCTATGGGAAGATGCTTTCAAGCAGCACAGCAGCAAGAGCTGGTAAAGTTCACAGTCACCAAGGCGGCTTGCTGTTCTGAGGGCAGCCTTCCACGGGAACTGGAGCAAGGTCCTACAACTCCTATATCAGGAGGAGTGGCTCTTGCCCCAAGCCTGCCACACAGCAGGTATCTTTACGATACTGAACGCTGCCACCTGGGCCATGGATTCTTGTCCTGGTATAACTGTTTTTCCCTTAAATCATGCTCTGCACTGTGCTCTAGGCATTCCTCCAATTATAAGCTGCTTATTCCTTAATTCATGCTCCGTACTGTGTCCACTCTAGGCATTCCTCTGATTATGAACTAAGATATAATTATAGGTATATATGTAGGGAAATATTCTTTAGGCACTCATACTATCAACTATTATATATAGAGGATTATATAAAGGGATTCTTCAAGCCCTATTTCTATAAACTAATATATGATTATGTAAAGGACTATGTAAAAGGAAATAGCTGAGTAGTAACACTATAAGGTGAGACATTCTTCAAGCCCTAACTGTGCCAGGGTTCTGCTTAGCTCTCATTCCTCGGTACCTATACAGGGGTTTACCCACATTGTTCCCCTTACTTAAGGTTTACACCTCATCACTTTCAGTCTGGTTGCCTTTTTTAATGTCTCACTTTCTTTCCTCCCTTAGAAAATATCTCTCTTAGTCAGAATCTCCTTAACAATACCCATAATTGCATCACTTTTTCTAACACTCATGGTGAGTGCCATGATCTGGCATCCTGTACTCCTATAGTTCTTTTCTTCTTCTGGATAACTCACGTTATCTTCCCAAAATCCATTAAAGTAAGTAAATGAGTTCTTATTCTGTGCAATGAATTTTTTTGGTGACAAAATATACGATAGAGGAATATGAGTTGCTCTGTAACCGAAATTGTTTCCAAATGCATATATCAGCCCTTGTCTAGTTTTCTGACAACATTTCAGTTACTTGTGATTTTGCCAACATCAGTGCTTTTTGTCCTAAATCAAAGTTTCTCCTTACTCTCCTCTTTCAGGTAGCATGAAAGTTATCATAGCTGACAGAGGCAATGGATGAAGCCAATCACTCTGCTGTCTCTGAGTTTGTTTTCCTGGGACTGTCTGATTCGTGGAAGATCCAGCTCCTCCTCTTCCTCTTTTCCTCAGTGTTCTATGTGTCAAGCCTGATGGGAAACCTGCTTGTGGTGCTGACTGTGACCTCTGACCCTCATTTACAGACCCCTGTGTACTTCCTGCTGGCCAACCTTTCCATCATCGATTTGGTATTTTGCTCCTCCATAGCTCCCAAGATGATTTATGACCTTTTCAGGAAGCACAAAACCATCTCTTTTTGGGGCTGTGTAGCTCAGATCTTCTTTATCCACTCAGCAGGGGGCACAGAGATGGTGCTGCTCATAGCCATGGCTTTTGACCGATATGTGGCTATATGTAAGCCTCTCCACTACCTGACCATCATGAGCCCACAAAGGTGCATTTTGTTTTTAGTCATTTCCTGGATTATAGGTATTATTCACTCAGTGATTCAGTTGGCTTTTGTTGTAGACCTGCCTTTCTGTGGCCCTAATAAATTAGATAGTTTCTTTTGTGATTTTCCTCGATTTATCAAACTGGCTTGCATAGAGACCTATACATTGGGATTCATGGTTACTGCCAATAGTGGATTTATTTCTCTGGCTTCCTTTTTAATTCTCATAATGTCTTACATCTTTATTTCGGTGACTGTTCAGAAAAAATCTTCAGGTGGTATATTCAAGGCTCTCTCTACACTGTCAGCTCATGTCATTGTGGTGATTTTGTTCTTTGGGCCATTATTCTTTTTCTATATTTTTCCATTTCCCACATCACATCTGGATAAATTTCTTGCCATCTTTGATGCAGTTATCACTCCTGTTTTGAATCCAGTCATCTATACTTTTAGGAATAAAGAGATGAAGGTGGCAATGAGAAGACTATGTTCTCAATTGGTGAATTATAGTAAAGTCTCTTAAATGTATTTAGAATCTACAAAAAGGCAAATTATAATTGGATTTTAGACAGATATGTGCTAAGTAAGCTATGGTTAATTTAACTCGAATATCACCTTCTACTAATATTTGTTGTGTTGTCTTTTTTTCCCCAAATTTAATCTTGATACCAATCTCTTGACTACTTATATAAGAGATATAAAAATTAAAGAGTGTGGCTACTTTATCTCACCAACATCTTACTCTATATAGGCAAGAACTAACCCCTGTGTTAAGGGAAGAAACTGATGGGAAGTGATTGGATTATGGGAACAACCTGGTTTCCCCCTTGCTGTTCTCGTGATAGTGAGTGAGTCTTACGAGATCTGATGGTTTTATAAGCTACTGGGGTTTCCCCTGCTTGCGTTTACTCCTTCCTGCCGCCTCCTGAAGGAAATGTTTGCTTCCCTTTTGCCTTCCACCATGATTATAAGTTTCCTGAGGCCTCACCAGCCATGCAGAACTGTGAGTCAATTAAATATCTTTCCTTTATAAATTATCCAGTCATGGGTATTTCTTTATAGCAGTGTAGAACGAACTGATACAGCGGGCAAACCAGAATAGAGTCACTGTGCTAAGTGCCACATGATCCAACTGAACTTCAAAATGAGCCTTTTTTAAAACCCACCCCTCAAAACCCATGTTACAGGTAGCCTGAGTCAATAAAATATGAAAATCCCTTCTGTTTTAAGTTTATAAGGGAAGTATCTTTGAAAAGGCCAATCCATTTTTTGTCTCTGATTCTGTTTTCTTCAGCCTATTTCTGCCTACAAGGCCAAGCTCTTCTGCTTAGCAAATGGGGAACACTTGTTCTATTTGATCGACTGAAATATTGCCCAATTAAAGAATCACTAATAAAAGCCAGTTAGATCTTAAAGCTGCAACTTTGTAATTTTGACAGTTGTTAACTAGTTGTTTGGAAAAAAAAATGAACTTCAAGATAAAAAATGTAGCATTTGTAAGAAACAGCTTTCACTCCTAGAAAAGAGGAAATAAAGGAAAGAGGTTAGAACTACTAAGGAAGACCCTGCGGAGGTGAAACTCAAATACCTGAGTGGGGCGGATGCTGCCTGGCTGGCGCTAGTGTCTCTGGGCTCAGAGGAGGGCCTATGGTTTGGAACACAGCCTTGAGGAAGAGGCATCTCTGGCTGGCGCAGGTGTTCCTGAGGAGAGTGTGATGAGCAGAGCTCCTGTAGCATTGTAAAAACTAACTGGATTCAGCTGCTGCTTTGGAAAACAACCAAAGTTGCTGGGTTGATGAGTGTGTTTGGGTAATGCTGATAGGCACAGCAAGCAGAGAGAGGGCAAACAGGAAGAAGCAAGTCCCTCTTTCCATATCCAGTCTTGCAACTTCCCTTTAGTATCCCTAATGGTGAGTCCAAGCAAGGAAAAGCTAAAAAGAAAAAGTTGGCAGATCCCCAACTCCTGCATCATACAGAGTATAGACAGATATGTTGGCACTGAAAGCACATGCAGTTACTTAGTAGGATCGTAGCGTGTTTGAACTTTAAATTATAAATAATTTCAGTCCTTCTTCATTTTAGAAACTCTCAGCTACTAGAAAAGAAAATAATTAGCCCAAAATGATAAAATATGAAAGATCCAAATCTAGAACCTAGAACCCAGGCTGACAGGCTCCTGGTCTTCTGCTGTTTTCTGTCCTTTTAGATCACATTTCCTTAGTTGATAAATCTGGTATTCCACTGGACTGTTACTGTTTCCCTTACATAAGATACTCACCTTGTATCTTGAGTGACTGTCAAATAGAGTTTCAACAAATGCTCCGACATAATTTTCACCTAATCTATTCAGTCCTAATTTACATTTCTTTTTCTAATCCTTTGGGTTGTTTTAAAATAAGGTTTTTATTTTGGAATAACTTTACTATTACAGAAAAGTTACAGAGCTAGTCTGACAGTGACCATATGCCCCTTACCAAGTTTCTGTTTCCCCTAATATTATTACCTTACATTTCCATGGTACAGTTTCCAAAACTGAGAAATTATTGCTGGTATAATACTACGAACTAAACTCTAGATTTTATTCAAATTTCACCGATTTTTTTCATTAATGTCTTATGTTTCAGAATCCAATCCTGGATGTCACAATACATTATGTCTCTTTTATTTTTAATGTTTTTTTAAAATATCCTCTGAGATTTCCGACAATTTCTCAGTCTTACCTTGCTTTTCATGGTGTCACAGCTTCAAGGAATATTGGTCAGATATTTTGTAGAATGTCCCTCAATTTGAGTTTGTCTGAAATTTTTTATTATAGTTACACATGGGTTCCGTATTTTTTAAAAGAATATCCAAAAGATGAAAAGATCTAAACACATGAAATTAGGGAATACATAATATCCACACAGCACCACTAGCGTTGTTAAATTTGCTCATGGTTTATTATTTGATCTTGATAAAACAAGTGACTTTTTACATGTTACATAGGTCATCTGCATTCTTTCTACTTAAGCTCCCCAAAGTTATCTACGGGATTGATGATGGTTTGCTATAATTTCTGAATATATAACAGATTTTTCTTGGGGATATGATTGGGGTATAGATTTTCTTGGCATATAGATTTTCCCTGGGGTTTATTTCAAATCCATCCCATCATGGTTGGATTGTAAAGGCAAGCTGTGTCATGATCGCTCCATGTTCTCTCTCTCTATCTTTCTTGATTCAGTTACTATTTCCTTCTATACAGATGGAATTCTTGGCCTCTCTTTTTGAGCTTCCTAGTCTTATGACTTCAGAACTGATGTTCCTGTTTTAAATCTCTAGTTATGGATAGTTTTCCCTAGGAGTTCTCACTGGAGTGTCTTTGGCAGTATAACTGCCTTAGCCAATTTCTAGTGCCACTATATTTCACCCTCTGGCCTAATTCTGTATGAGTGGGCATTTGAATATTTTGTCATGAATCTTTGATGTGTAATAAGGAAGGAGAAGTAATTGCTAGCATAGCAACATGGACGAATTAATGACTGCTCTTTAAACCCAAAACCTAGGGTTCAGGACTATGTAGAAGAACATGGTCGTTGTGCCTCCCTCTTGGATATTATTTCTAGGGTGGAAAATATTAATTTAGATCAGTCATTTGCTTTATTTGTATTTTTTCTATGCCATGAAACAGTGGTTAATAAAATAATGCTGACTAGTCTAAAGGGCTGATGCCTCATAATGCTTTAAAAAACATGATCATTGTCAGGGATACAATGTAGAGGGTGTCCATGGCAGTGCTGGTTTTAGCATAGGGAAGGTATAATCTTCAAAATATTAAACTGCATGGATATGAACAGATGCTGGCCACAGAGTTGGAGCAAGATCCTGGAGACTCCTGCTGTTCCAGGAATTAACTTTTGGTAGCTGATTCACAAGGAGTTCTGGGGAAGCAACTTAGAAGCAGATCGAACCTCAAATGGCTTGTGACAGTGGCTATATTCTAACAATGTGCAAGTATTTAAAGTTTTTAACAACTGGTATTACACTGGTGTCTTCTAGGTAAATATTAACAATATTGGTATGTGAGGGTTGGAGAAATTAAAAGCAAAGTCGAATACTTACATAATCCAATCAGCAACCCTGAAAAACTTGGGGGTGATCTGATTACTCAAAGGCAGAAAGCGGTGCCTAGCCACCATGGAATGCTCTGCAGTATTTAGAAGTGATATACTAGGATGTACATTTAGCAACATGTACTAAGTGGAAAAAAATAAATAGAATTAGATGTAGAATACTGTTTTATATGTATACACATACAAACAATCCTACATGTTTCATAATAACACAAAATGACAAGACACACTTAAAAACACCAGAATGGTGTTCTTTGAGAGAAAGGGATTGGGAATGGGGAATGGAAATTAAAGGGGATAAGCAAGTAAGAAAAGAGTGTTTGTTGTAAGCCAATGATCATTGCTTGCTGGTCAATTGATAAACGTTTGCTATAAACCAATCATTAAGCACCAAGGACAGAGACATACGATTACACTGAAAGTTGTAAAACCACACAAGTCCTCTTGCTTCCTCTTAATATTTTGAAATCAACCCTTATTCATATTATTCCTGCTTCCTAATGACAGACACAGTAAAAATAATAGAATTATTTCAACAACTGAATTATTTTATTAAAGTCAATAAATATAAGTTAAGCTTCTTTGATTACAGGAAACTGGAAAAGTTGGTTTGAAAAAAAAATGTGAATTAGATAAAGCCTATATCTTCAAAGTGCTTGGTAAAATATATTAAATTTATAACTCGTAAAAGTCACATTATGAAATAGTAAAAACATTTTGTACTCTTACTTGCTTAGTTTATTCATGTATAGATGAAATTGATATTTATAAGGATTCTGCATGATTTTTATGAATCTCTTGGAAAATGGGTATTATTAGCTTATCTAGAGACACTTTTATTTATCATGATAGGATTTAAATTGTCAAAGATTGTGTCCTCTGCAGGGATATGGATGGAGCTGAGGCCATTATCTTTAGCAAACTAACTCAGGAATAGAAAACCAAAAACCACATGTTCTCACTTCTAAGTGTGAGCTAAATGATAACACATGGAGACATAGAGGGAAACAACACACACTGGAGCTTATGGGAGGGTGGAGAGGGGTGGGAGGAGGAAGAGGGTCAGGAAAAATAACTAATGGGTACTAGGCTTAATACCTGGGCGATTAAATCTGCACAACAAACCCACATGACATACATTTACCTATGTAACAAACCGGCACATGTGTCCTGACCTTAGAAAAATAATCCAGAAAAATATAAAGTTGTAGAGATTTGTTTTTCTTAAAGGTTCCAGAGTCATCCCTCCCTCCTGTGACTCATTATCAACATTTCTCCTTTGTTGCTTTGAATATATTTCTAGGAGATAATTTCTTGGCTCATTGACTTGAGAGTTGCAATCCCAGGTCACTATGGCTTTATTTGGTCACTGTTCTCCCGTGAAATTAATTAGCCATTTTTTCCATTTACATAAATATTTTAAGTATGTGTATGCTTGAGATAATAGTCTGTAAATAGCTACAAGGGGAGGATGGCATGAAATTCATAATAGGAGCAAGATAAACGAGATAAACTTCAGCTGCAAGAAAGACTCAGGTAATAGTTTGCTAGCCTGGGGCAAAAAGAAATGTGGTTGTGGACGGGAAATGATCACAGCAAAAGAGTAAACATGAATCATGGATCTGGAGAACAAGAATTAACCTTAGTTTTTAACTAAAACTTAGAAATGACTTGGAGATCCAAAGGTGCAACAGAATGCACTGCAGAGTCTGGAGTCTGCGCTGTGCCTTGGTTCAGGGCAGAACTAAGATGCACGTAAAGTTGTTTATGGTACCCAGAGACCTTTGGGGAAATCTATTAGCCCTGAAAAGGAAGACAAATAGGCTTGTTGTTTTCCTAACAAGCTTGTTGTTTGCTTTATTTCTATTTCTAGAGAAGACCCAAGATATAGAAAGGACAAAAATTCATTGGTTACTAGTCATAAGTGAAGTTTTAAAAATAAAATCCCAGTTTCATGGAATCAAGATGATGAAAGAATAATTGAAAACTTACTTGGAAGAAAAACACCTAGAGTTCTAACTCATCCTGAACAACAACAGCAACAAAAAATGTAGTGTCTGTTAAAATTAGTTGATTGAAGAATGGAGGAATAAACGTAAGAAGTTAAATGGGTAGAGTTTAACAATAGCTGCAATAAATCCTCCTATACTTGTTATGTTTTCAAAACATTGATGATAACTTTTTAGGTCTATACAATGAGAAATTTAGGTAGTGAAACTGAATGATAAGACAAGAGTGACAACGATAAAGGGAGAGAAGATGGATCCTTTGAGGAAGACTAAAGAAATTGAGATGAATAAAACTAGAGGGTACAGATGAGTGATCTTTATTTGCTTTTACTAACATCAAAAATATTAAGTACTTACCTGACAGAGTAGCTGACACCTTTATATCCACAGAGGATGAATTAAGTGGTTATAAGCTTAATTAAAAGGATGAGAGATTTCCTTTTTGTAAAAGAACATTTGGACTTTTACGTTAATGAAAAGCAGGACACAGCCAGGCCTGGTGGCTTTCACCTGTAATCCCAGCACTTCAGGAGGTGGAGGTGGATAGATTAGTTGAGTCCAAGAGTTCAAAATCAGCCTGGCCAACATGGTGAAGCCTCTTCTCTACTAAAAATACAAAAATTAGCTGGATGTGGTGGTGAATGACTGTAATACCAACTACTCGGGAGGTTGAGGGTCGAGAATCACTCAAACCTGGGAGGCTGAGGTTGTAGTGAACTGAGATTGGGCCACTACACTCCAGCCTAGGTGACGGAGTGAGAATCTGTCTCAAAAAAAAAAAAATGGCAAGACACCTTTTCATAATAGCTAAGAAATATATTTTTAAACCTGAAAAACTGACATTTCCTAGATGGGTAAATAAAAGAAAGGCCAGTTACAGGTGATGGGGAGGAAGGCAGCAAACTACATTGCCATGTATGTACCTATGCAACAGTCCTGCATGTTCTTCACATGTACCCCAAAACCTAAAAATGCAATTTTATATATATGTGTATGTGTGTGTGTGTATAAAGGAACTGGTTCAGATCATACTTTCAGATTTTTTCTAGCTCAGTAGGTTTATTAAATGAGAATAATGAATATCTTATTTTCAAAATTTTAAATGCAGTGATTATAAATCTAAGAAGCTGCCCAATTCCAATCCCATGCAACTTCACGTAGGTGAATTTAAACTTAAATGATTCCATCAAATGCTATAGTATCTGTATTTGTTACATTACCACAGTTGTTTAAGTAGTATAAACAGTTGATGATTATAATTTGTGTCATTATAAGTATTGAGAGCCATAGCAAGGCGAGAACTAGGAAACTCAAAACAAAGTATCTCCTAATGGCAATGACCTTAGGACATGGAGGGTCTGGGATGCATCAAAACAATCAAGCACTTAGTACCCAGCCAGTCATCCTGGAAGCTATTCAGCGACCCAAAGATGAATAAATACTCAAAAAATGTGAAGATAAGAAAACAAGAGCTGAGTAAGTTTTTAGATCTGCTATTTGCTCTTTGTATTATTTTCTCATCTTTGCTTTATAAGGGATTATGAAGTAGGAAAATTTTACATTTAGCTCAATTTCTTCCTTTACTCAGTTCTAACTTTCATACCTGTCACTGTTATTCTCCTACCCAGCCTTTCTGCTCTTACTGTCTCCTGAATCAACCCATCCTTTGTCATCCCTCTTGGGTAATGACTTAACTTAAAAATGGATCACTTACTGCTTCATTATTAAAACTCTCGTGTCTTGCATGCATTAGATCTCCACTAAGGAAAGCCAGCTGGTAATTTTTTGTTTGTCTGCAACAGCTTAGTGGAGTATCCTTCCTGTAGCCACATAAGCACAACTAGGGACCTCAATATGTTAAGCTGAAAGAAAGCAACTCCAATGCTGAAGTATGTTAACCTGTAAGAAAGCAACTCTAGTGCTAAAAGGAAATATTTTGGGGCACTGGAGCTTTTAATGCTGCACATGTAGACAAACTCCTACTCTGCCATCTCTTCCCCTTTATCACAATTTTCCACTTAATGAACCATCTTGGTCTCCTGTTGAATTCAATAATTCAATTTCCCCTTTTCTTTTTTCTCATCTATTTCCTGATTTTTAAAATGTATTTAATTCTAAATTAGTGTGTAGGCTCTGTCTTTGAGTAAACTTTACACAGAATCTCATATTTTTTGAATGATGTAACAAATCATCTTTTAGTTTTGTTCTTTTCCTTGCAAAGTAATTAAAAGTGAAGTTTACCATTATTTCTTTTGCTATTCTGAGTTGTCAGGTTTTGCTATTCAAATTTCAGTTTGGAGGAAGTACCACATATATTTTCAGTTCATAGCATATTCTTATTTCTACTTCCTGGAAGTCTTAACAGCATTTTTGCTAGAAGGAAATTTTTTCTCTTTGCGATCAAAAGGATTTATTTTTGTCTTTGTTGCCCATTTCTAGACACGTTTTGGTTAGTGTATAGTTCAGGTCATTAGAATTTAAATGTAAATCATAGAATGATTTGCACAACTCTTAAAATTGTTCTGATAACCTTAGATTCTCATTTATGTTCAATCTCTTAATTTATTTGACACAATTAATGATTTTTTTACCTTTACATCATCTCTAAGGTACAGCATATTGTTAGGCATTTGATAGATACAGCATATATACTTCTTGGGCGAATGGATGAATAAGCCAAAAAAATCTTCCCAGCATTGTTTTTGAGTTGCCTTACCGTCAGTACAAAGAATCAACGTATGTGAAACCTGACCCTACGTGTTTTATCTGTATTTATCTGTGTATGTGTGGAGATAAAGACCAATGCATATTGGATAAAACCCACTGGAAAATTAAAGAAATTATAGTTATAAGAATTCAGATAAAGGAAGAAGTCAGAAAACTGAGACCTCCTGAAAGTGGAAATTGAATTAGAAATAAGCAGAGTGGTTGAGACTCCCAGGTAGTTGATAAATTATAGACTTTCTTCAAATGTTCTTAGGCTTTCTGTGGAATGAAAATCTGTATGTGACACCAAAATTGCATTTACTTTGGTGAATATGGATTCCACAAAACCAAGAATTCTTGTCAATGGTATACTCTCAACCTCTGGAATCATGTCTGGAATCCTGAGCATTCAAGATACTTTTTTGAATTAATGAACAAAAATCATTCAGACAACCATTCAGGAGTTACTTGTATATCTAGCATAACTATTTTTCTAAGAACACATTGCCTGACTAGTGATCATTGTTTTCTTATCACTGATAGTCATCAGTGGTCCATGCTTGGTCCTACATGTAACTGGAGTCAGAAGTCACTAATGTGTAGTTACAGGGCAAAAGTCAGGATGTCCTATCTCTCCCTATGACCTCAATATCTCTTCCACCTTCCTGACAGGCTACTTGAAATCCCTCTGTCAGGTTCATTGCTTTAAGATTTTCCTTTTTTCCCCTAAAACACTTGGTCATAGTTAAAAAAACAAAAAAACCCTGTGTTGTTTGTTTGTTTGTTTTGAGACGGAGCTTCGCTCTTGTTACCCAGGCTGGAGTGCAATGGCATGATCTCGGCTCACCGCAACCTCTGCCTCCTGGGTTCAAGCAATTCTCCTGCCTCAGCCTCCTGAGTAGCTGGGATTACAGGCACGTGCCACCATGCCCAGCTAATGTTTTGTATTTTTAGTAGAGACGGGGTTTCACCATGTTCACCAGGATGGTCTCGATCTCTCGACCTCGTGATCCACCCGCCTCGGCCTCCCAAAGCGCTGGGATTACAGGCTTGAGCCACCGCGCCCAGCCAGAACAGTAAGAATATAACCAGTGTGTATGTGTGTTGTAAGCCACTAGATTTGTAGTAGCTTGTTATAACAGCAATAGTAAACTAATGTAACAAGTATTTACTGTAAAGAACTTTGAATGGGAGTCAAAAGTTCTTGGTTCCATTATACATTTTCCTACCAATTACCTTTGTGAGGCTGAGCAGATCACTCCCTATATTTCTTCCTTTATGAATTGTTTATGAAATATAAATGTTGGACTAAATCAGAAGCACTCCGTTGAACAGTGAAACTCTAATGGTTTATTTCTGACAGTTCTTCATCCTTAAATAACTGTAATGTTGTCACACCTCCCCATGCTGGGAGCTGGCCACCATTCTTTAGTTTATTTCCTGGACTTAATCTCCATTACTCAATCATCATCTTCTTTCAGAGAGCAGATATAGACACTGTCTGGCTCTTTTCACTCAGTGTTTTATTTCTGTCACTTTTATTCACTCCAAGTGTATTTTGATAAAGAGACTGCCTTTATGTGACATGGTTTTTGTCTTAGGATAACCACTGGGTGTGTATATCTACAGTAGAGGAGATTATTTGTTTCAGATCATATATTTTATATAAAAATTGAGATTAAAAAATCTCTTAGAAAATTATTTCTTCTGTTTTGAACCATATTAGAAGCCTTTTATTGACTATTTAAAATGAATACTAAGACCCCATATATATTTTTATGATACATTACCTAAATGTTCCTTGGTTAAGTACAGGATTGAAATAGGGATACTGTGATAATTTCTGATTGGCAAGCTGTTAATATACTATTAATCAAAACCTTACTGAATTAGGAGGTACTCTCCTGACTCCAGTGTCATTCTTCAGTCCCTTTAATTTATGACTTCATTCAACAAGTGTGATACGCTTATTATGTACCTGATTATGTTGTTCAAAATTGTGATGGTGGTGGGAGCTACTCTTAGGGATCAGTCAAGGCTTCTATACCCAAGAGTCTGCATTTTAATTGGAGAAATGGACATTTACATAACTGTAAGAAGCCGAGAATAATAAATGCTAATGGTGCAATGAGAATACAGAAACTTGGGCAGACTGGGAAGATTTCATACATAAGAGATAATTTGGCTGGGATTTTGAGAATTAGATTTTGTGTATTGGAGAATAGAATAGGATAAATTTTGAAATTTTAAAGAATGGAAACTTCTAAAATCTAATCAAGCAATATAAATAACAGACTTTGAACACTGTGTTCTGTGCACGAATAATTGTTAAGTAGCTCACATGACTGGCTGAAATCATATCCATTCATAAAAAATCATAGTGGAAAGTATTAAAGGTGTCCTTATATCTTACCCAAATAGAACATCTGGGACGGATCAAATAAAAACTATTTATCTAACACAAAAGCAGAGGAGAAACAGGTCCAAGGATGGAAGTAATTTAGTAGTAGTTTTGAAGTGCCAAATAGCAGCCAGCTGACCCCTTTAAGTAGAAGTCCAGAATGCATGTGATGAGGGTTATGGGGCTGTGTGAAATGTTAATATGATACTTATTTTCATGGCTGGAGGCTTTATCGAACATGAATACCTGCCTAGGTAATTCTTTCTCATTTTCTTTCTTCCTTTAGCTAAGTAAATGAAAACTGATCCTGGAGTCTGAGGGAATGAATGTAATGAATCACTCTGTAGTATCAGAATTTGTGTTCGTGGGAATCACCAACTCATGGGAGATTCAGCTTCTACTTTTTGTTTTCTCTTTGTTGTTCTACTTTGCAAGCATGATGGGAAACCTTGTCATTGTGTTCACCGTAACCATGGATGCTCATCTGCACTCCCCCATGTATTTCCTCCTGGCTAACCTCTCAGTCACTGATATGGCATTTTGCTCAATTACAGCCCCTAAGATGATTTGCGATATTTTCAAGAAACACAAAGCCATCTCCTTTTGTGGATGTATTACTCAGATCTTCTTTAGCCATGCTGTTGCGGGCACTGAGATGGTGCTGCTCATAGCCATGGCCTTTGACAGATACATGGCCATATGTAAACCTCTTCACTACCTAACTGTCATGAGCCCAAGAACATGTCTAAACTTTTTAGCCACTTCCTTGATCATTGGCCTTATTCACTCATTGGTCCAGTTAGTTTTTGTGGTAGATTTACCTTTCTGTGGCCCTAATATCTTCGACAGTTTTTACTGTGACCTCCCTCAGCTCCTCAGACTTGCCTGCACAAACACCCAAGAACTGGAGTTCATGGTCACTGTCAATAGTGGACTGATTTCTGTGGGCTCCTTTGTCTTGCTGGTAATTTCCTATATCTTCATCCTGCTCACTGTTTGGAAACATTCTTCTGGTGGTTTATCCAAGGCCATCTCCACCCTGTCAGCTCACGTTACTGTGGTCATCTTGTTCTTTGGACCACTGATGTTTTTCTACACATGGCCTTCTCCCACATCACCGCTGGATAAATATCTTGCTATTTTTGATGCATTTATTACTCCTTTTCTGAATCCAGTCATCTACACATTCAGGAACAAGGACATGAAGGTGGCAATGAGGAGACTCTGCAGTCGTCTCGTGCATTTTACAAAGACTTTGTAAATGGGTTGGCTATGGCGATGTGTAACTAAGGATTATTTCTCATGCCAGTTGCATAAAAGATACTATGCAATTTCAGACAAATACTGAAGACAACTCCGGCCATACTGTATGCCTGAAAATGTATTAAATTACGGTAACAATTTCACCACTAAATTAGAAGTGGTGTTATTTGGCACAGTGTGCATCAAAGTGCTAAATATTAAATCTTACATCTTTTGTAGCCTACTACTTTGAAAGACCTTGTTCTAGAAGTGTGCCATGTAATTGAACAAATAACAATACTACATCTTTTTTCTATTATTCTATTGATAGACAAACTACACATTCAGTTAATCTGTTTACTGTCTCTCTTCCCCATCTCTCTCTCTCTCTCTCTTTTTTTTTTTTTTTTTTTTTTTTTTTTTTTTTTTTTTTTTGAGACAGAGTCTCACTGTGTTGCCCAGGCTAGAGGGCAATGGCACAATTTCAGTTCACTGCAATCTCTGCTCTCTGGTTCAAGGATTCAAGCAATTCTCCTGCCTCAGCTTCCTGAGGGCTGGGATTACAGGTGCCCATCACAATGACTGGCTAATTTTTATATTTTTAGTAGAGATAGTTTCACCATGTTGGCCAGGCTGGTCTTGAACTCCTGACCTCAAGTGATCCACCTGCCTCAGCCACCAAAAATGCTGGTATTACAGGAATAAGCCACTGCACCTGGCCTGTTTAGTACCTAACGCTCTCTATTTTAATTATTTTTGTTCCTAAAGTGTTTACTTTCTATTGCTCCAGTCTCTATATATTTTGCCTCCTTATCAGGCTTCTCTGTCTGGCCATCTGGAAAATTGTTAGTCCTATATTTACAATATTCAAATTTAAAGTTAGAGTGGATTACTAACACTGTTTGTTCTAATCCCCTGAAATTACAAATCCTAAAATCTAAGAGTTGACCAGTGACTAGTTTGCCCAAAGGCACACAGCTGGAAATCATCAAAGAGAGCCAGGCACTAGAAACCATAACTCTGGTTGCTAGTTCAGTGCTCTTTCACCTTCAGATTAATTGTGTTTTTGATTTGATGCTCATATTCCAATCTTCCAGCTTTTTCTGTAGGCCTAATTTTGAGTCTATTTGAAAAGAGAGCTTTATAACCATCGTTTGTATTCCTTCCTACCAGTAAATCATCAGCATTTAGTCCTTTATCATTTCTGAATCCTCCGCTAATGTCTACCACCACCATACATTTCCTTGTTCAAGTCCTACCGAAGCTGAATTTTTAAATCATTCCTCTAATTATGAAAAAATGCTTGAACTTATAGCAGTGTTCTTTTGTCTGTGGTAGTATTCACAGAGACCGTTGACTAAATTCTATTTTATAGGTTTGAAGTTCGTTCCATTACTTAGAGTTGATGATGGTTCTTCTTTTGGGAAACAAAAATGTGATTGGTGAATTACATAAGTTACACTAAGATATTTATGCGTCTTTTTTAGAAGGATAAACTTCAAATATTTCAGCAAAAATTAAAATATTTATAAAATATGTATGAAAATTCTTTACCCCAAAATTCTGTGGCTTTTAATCCAAGCTTGTTACTAAAACACAGAAACAAAACTATTCATTGATGTTTCCTTCATGAGATAATAACGCTCTGATTATCTTTCAGCATTTGTGTCCTAGGGGAGCTGATAACTGATGTTACTCATATAGTGCTTCTAATGGTCCAGGTACTGTTCTAAGTGCTTTATTTGAATCTTATGAAGCAGATTCTCTCATCCCCATTTTAGAGAGGAGGTGTCTGAGGCACAAAGTTGCTAAATATCTTCAAGGTTATGAAGTAGTAAGTCTTGATTCAAAGTCTGCTAGTTTGAATTCAGAGTTTGTTCTCATAACCTGTGCAGTGTAATGTGTCTCTGGGAATAAAATGTATCAAAATAGCAATTATTAACGTATTAAAGCAATGTCTATTTGTGGGCCCTCCACTGGGTGACTCCATCACCACCACCAAACCCAGCATTTATGGTGTCAATTAATTTTCAAAAATGTATTGTATATGTATACCCATTCAGCTGTTGCATTGTAGGCTGTCACTAAAATCAGGGAAGTTAAAATGCCAGAATTTCTCTGATATAGAAGAAAATCTCTAAAGTCTCCAGAAGATACTAAATAACTCCTCAGCCACACTGCGAAAGCAGCTGCTGCTGCTGCAGCTGGAAGGCACTGTGTGGTGGGGGAGGAGTTGGAGGTCAGTTTACCACTTTTGCATAAGGAGTGAGTAAGAAGTTTGGTGAAATAAAATGAAAACACTGAGGAACTGTGGGCTTTGGCTAGGCAATCAAGGTTGATTTCATGTGGTTACTGCTGGACTTGCTAGTGGCAGATGCAGCAGCAGCAGCTAAGAACCACCAGTGTTTATAGTAGTAGTTACAACACTGAGACTACCCACAGCAGTGTCCTGTGTCACAGAGGGAGCTTGGCTTGCTGGTACCCAAAGAGTCTTCCTTATGCTGTGGGTGTTCAGACCTGGTGCCTAGAGGAGCAGGAGCTCCATGCCACCCAGGAGGCTTCTCCTCTCCATCCTCCCCCTGCTCCTCCGACACAGCGTGGCCACCTCCCTCCACCCTTGCTGCACTTCTCCTCTACTTTCTTCTTCCTTCTTTTGATCTTTTCCTGTAATATATTTTGAAGTCAGATCGTGAGGCCTTCAGCTTTGTTCTTACTGCTCAAGAGTGCTTTACTTATTCAGGGTCTTTTGTGGTTCCATATGCATTTTTGAATAGTTTTTTTATTTGTGTGAAGAATTATACTGGAATTTTATAAATCACGAGGTGGGAGTGTTTCACCTGAAGCCAGTTTCTAGAGAAACGTTAGCACCAACTTCTTATTTTTCCTCTATCCCTTCTCTGCTTTCATCCTTTCTCTTCCTCTGCCTCCCTTTACTCTTCTTCTATCTCTGTTTTTCTAATCATGAAAACAAATAAATGAAAACTATGAGCAAGAGCACAGAAAAAAGACTAGCAAAGGCTGCAGTTACCGAGAGTATCAGATACAGAAAATAAAATTACTTAGTGTGTTTAAAGTAAAACCAAAAAATTTAAAGTATCTTAATGGAATAGGAAACTCTAGAGAATGGCCAGGAATATTAAAAGAGAACAAATAGAATGTCGATAGAAAATAACATCATTGAAATTTAAGCCCAAATGAATGGATTTAACAGAATATTAGTATGTTAGAAGCAGTTGAAGAGTAAATTAGTAAACTGTAACATAGATCAGAAGGGGCTATCCAGAATGAACACAGGAATTTAAAAAGTGGAAATTAAGAAACATGTAGTTAGGAGACATGGAAGGGCGGGGGGAGCTTTAAAAAATTTTAAAGAGTGTTTCAAAGGAGAGGAAAGAGATAATCAGTTAATGTGTTTTTTAAATTTTATGTTCCAAGATACATGCGCAGAATGTGCAGGTTTGATACATAGGTAAATGTGTGCCTTTGTAGCTTGCTGCACCTATCAGCCCATCACTTAGGTATGAGACCTTGCAGGTGTTAGGTATTTGTCCTGATGCTCTCCCACCCCACACCCCCGACAGGCTGTGGTGTGTGTTGTTCCCCTCCCTGTGTCCATGTGTTTGTTCTCATTGTTCATCCTTTTCTTACAAGTGAGAACATGTATGTTCAGATTTCTCTTCCTGTGTTAGTTTGCTGAGGATGATGGCTTCCACCTTCATCCATGTCCCTGAAAAGAAAATGATCTCATTCTTTTTAATGGCTGCATAGTATTTCATGGTGAATATGTGTCACATTTTCTTTATCCAGTCTATCATTAATGGCCATTGGGATTAATTCATGTCTTCACTATTGTAATAGTGCTGCAGTGAACATGTGTGTCCATGTATCTTTCTTTTATTTATTTTTGAGGTGAGTTTCACTCATCGCCCAGGCTAGAGTACAATGGTGCAATCTCAGCTCATTGCGACCTCTGCCTCCTGAGTTCAAGCAATTCTCCTGCCTCAGCCTCCTAAGTAGCTGGGATTACAGGTGTGCACCACCATGCCTGGCTAATTTTTATATTTTTGGTAGAGATGGGGTTTCACCATGTTGGCTAGGCTGGTCTTGAACACCTGACCTCAGGTGATCTACTTGCCTTGGCCTCCCAAAATGCTGAGATTACAGGTATGAGTCACTGCACCTGGCCGTGTGCATGTATCTTTGTAATAGAATGATTTATATTCCTTGGGTATATACCCAGTAATGGAATTGCTGAGTCAAATGGTATTTCTGGTTCTAGATCTTTGAGGAATTTCTTGAGGAATTGCCACACTGTCTGCCACAGTGGTTGAACTAATTTACATTCCTACCAACAGAGTAAAAACATTCCTATTTCTCCACAGCCTTACCAGCATCTGCTGTTTCTGGAGTTTTTAATAATCATCATTCTGACTGGCATGAGATGATATCTCATTGTGGTTTTGATTTGCATTTCTCTAATGATCAGTGATTTGACCTTTGTTTCATATGTTTTTTGGCCACATACATGTATTATTTTGAGAAGTGGCCATTCATGTCATTTGACCACTTTTTGATGGGGTTATTTTCTTCTTGTAAATTTGTTTAAGTTCCTTGTAAATTTTGGATATTAGACCTTTGTCACATGGATAGATTGAAAAAATTTTCTCCCATTCTGTAGGTTGCCTGTTCACTCTGATGATAGGTTTTTTTTTTTTTTTTTTTTTTTTTGTGCAGAGACTCTGTAGTTTAATTAGATTCCATTTGACAGCTTTAGCTTTTGTTGCCATTACTTTTGGAGATTTCATCATAAAATCTTTGCTTATGCCTGTTTCCTGCATGGCATTGCCTAATTTTTCTTCTAGGGATTATATGGTTTTGGGTTTTCCATTTAAGTCTTTAGTCCATCTTGAGTTAATTATTGTACAATGTATAAGGAAGGGATCCAGTTTCTGTTTTCTGCATATGGCTAGCCAGTTTTCTCATCACCTATTATTAATAGCAAATCCTTTCCCTATTGCTTGTTTTTGCCAGGTTTGTCTAAGATCAGATGGTTGTAGATGTGCAGTCTTATTTCGGAGATCTCTGTTCTGTTTCTTTGGTCTGTGTGTCTGTTTTGGTACCAGTATCATGTTGTTTTGGTTATTGAAGCCTTGTAGTGAAGTTTGAAGTCAGGTACCATGATGCTTCCAGCTTTGTTCTTTTTGCTTAGGATTGTCTTGGCTATATGGGCTCTTTCTTGGTTCCATATAAACTTTAATTGTAGTTTTTTCCAATTTTGTGAAGAATGTCAGTGGTAGTTTGATGAGAATAGTGTTAAATCAATAAATCACTTTGGCCAGTATGGCCATTTTCATGATACTGTTTTTTTCTATCCACAAGGATGAAATGTTTTTCCATTTGTCTGTGTCCTCTCTTACTTCCCTGAGCAGTGGTTTGTAGTTCTCCTTGAAGAGAATTACACTTCCCTTGTTAGCTGTATTCCTAGGTATTTTATTTTCTTTATAGTAATTGTAAATGGAAATAAATTCATGATTTGGGTCTCTGTTAGTCTATTGTTGGTGCATAGAAATGCTAGGAGCTTTTTCACATTGATTTTGTATCCTGAGACTTTGCTCAAGTTACTTATCAGATTAAGGAGATTTGGGGCTGAGTTGATGGGGTTTTCTAGATACAGGGTCATTTCATCTGCAGACAATTTGACTTCTCCTGTTTCCATTTGAATGCTTTTCTTTCTTTCTCTTGCCTGACTGCACTTGCAATACTGTGTTGAATAAGAACATCCTTAACTTGTGCCAATTTTCGAAGGGAATGCTTCCAGCTTTTGTCCATTCAGTATAATTTCAGCTGTGGATTTGTGATAAATATTTTGAGATATGTTCTGTCAGTACCTAGTTTATTGAGAGTTTTTAATATGAAGAGGTGTTGAATTTTATTGAAGGTCTATTCTGCATCTGTTGAGATAATCAGGTAATTGTGTCATTGGTTCTGCTTATGTGATAGATTATCTTTATTGATTGGTGTGTTGAACTAGCCTTGCATCCCAGTAATGAAGCTGACTTGAGTATGGTGGATAGGTTTTTTGATATGCTGCTGGATTCAGTTTG